GCTGGTGGGTTTGAACCGCCAGCCTTCTGGTTAGCAGTCAAGTGCCTTAGGCACTACGCTACCAGAGTGAAAACACATGGTCAACAACAGAGATGTGGTCCCTGCCTTCAAAGAGTTTACAGTTTATCTAGGAAGACAACAACATGCCAAGTGAGTAAAGGTGCCACACAAGCACAGAGAAGGGGATCCGATCCCCTACAACGGGGGCCAGAGAAGACAACCAGAGGAAGTGATGATTCGGGCGAGACGAGAAGGGAAGCTCCGACACAGGGGATGGGTGAGTGCAAGACGGCTTCTGGCAAAGCCAACACTATAGTCACGGGCTCAGGATGCGCAAATGGTCAGATTAAAAACTGTCTTTTGTGTAAGAAAAGAATCTAAGAAATGAATGTTTACTAACAAAGCTGCAGATATCAAAAACCAACTATCATCTACTTTTTATTTTTTATTTTTGTTGTGGTTTGGGTGAAAATTTACAGAGTAAATTCATTTTCCATTCAACAATTTATATCCATTTTGCTTCTTGACATTGGCTGCAGTCCCCTTAATGTAAAAGCACTTGTCTCACCTCCTCCCAGGGTCTGTTTCCATTTGCCCTTCTTTCCTGCCCCTTCTTGCCGCCTGAGCTTTGTTTCTGGGTGAATGCTGCTCTCCTGGTCTCTTACGCTTGTCTGTACTGAGGAGTATGGTCCTTCTTGGTGTCAGCATTCACTTTACAGGCCTGTCTACTGTTTGGCTGAAAGCTGATCCCCACAGGTGGGTTCAGTTCCAGATTTGCATCTAAGGGCCACAGTCTCAGAGGACCACCCGTCTCTATCAAACCGTAAGTCTGGTCTTTTTTATGATTTCCAATTTTGTTCTACATTTTTTCTCTCTCACCATGTCTAGGACCTTCTATTGTGATCCTGATCAGATGAGCTGGTCATGATAGCTGGGCACCATCTAGTTCTTCTGGTCTCAGGGTAGAGGCGACTGTGGTTCATGTGGTCCACTAGTCCTTTGGACTAATCGTTTCCTTGAGTCTTTGATTTTCTTCAGTCGTCTTTGCTCTGGACAGGGAGAGACTGATAGCCGCTCGCAAGTTTTAAAGATTCCAGTCACTACTCACCAAAGTAGGATGTAGAACACTGTATTTGTGGACTAAGTTACAGTCATCTACTTCCTGAAAAAGGAAGACTGAAGAATTGACACATTTGAATTATGACATTGGCAAAGACTACTGCACACACCACGGACTGCCAGAGAACAGATAAATCGGTCTTGGAAGCTCAGTCAGAATGTTCCTGAGAAACAAGGACAATGAGACTGCCTTGCTTCCTCTGGACACGGTATCAGGAGAGACCAATCTCTAGAAAAGGCCATCAGGCTTGGTGAATAGAGGGTCACTGACAGAGAGGAAGACCCTCAACAACAGGGACTGACCCAGAGGCTGCAACCGTGAGGTGAAGCATGGGAATGGGTGTGAAGATGGTGTGGGACCAGGCAGCGTCAGTCCTGTTATACACAGGGTCACTTTAAGTGGAAACCTAACCACTCAGCAACATCTATTTAACTCAGGAGAAAACAGAGAAAAAAGTCACACTGTTCATCCTGACTTCTTCTCCATGTTACCTACTCAGACACGTGTCTGTCTACTCACATATAGCGTGTGGCAGGCTTTACAGAAGGGCTCAATGGTGGGCAAACAAGACCCACTACTGCCCTCAGGGAGGCAACACAAATGAGCAAGAATCAAATACGATACAGAGTTTGTGTGGCTACATATTGATTCTGAAAAGTAACTCCTTGAATCTAGTTATTTTTGAATAAAGTACTTTAAAAGCTCTTTGATGAATCTTTCAGTAAGAAGTAAAGAGGCAATCATTATCTGACACCAAGTACCTTATAAAAGAGCTGTGGTGGCATAGTGGTTAAGTGCTCAACTGCTAACTGAAAGGTTGGCAATTTGAACCTGACCAGCAGTTCTGCAGGACAAAAATGTGGCAGTCTGTGTAAAGATTACAGTCTTTGAAACCTTATGGGCAGTTCTACCCTGTCCTACAGGGTTGCTGTGAGTCAGAATGGACTCCACGGCAGTGGGCTGGGTTTTTATGCTACAAAAGAAACATTAAAAGACATTCTGACATCCCATATATGTAAAAAAAGGAATTATGTTTGTATTTTCAAATAAATACGAGTAACCAGTGTTTTATACATTTCAAAGCCCCTTGACATTCTCATTTTTATGGTTCCCAGCAGGGAGGCCAAGCAGATATGGCAGTAATTACCCCCATTTGTCAGGCCCTAACTGTGGAGCACCAGGCACTTTGCTGGGAGCTTAACAGCCATGCTCTCCCTTCACTCGCACAACCCTGCAAAGTAACTATTACCGTCTCCAGCTCACCAACGAGGAGCCTGCGGCTCAGAGAGTTTACTAACTGGCCCAGGTGCATATGGCTGACAAACGGCGGAGCCACAGTTATGCCCATGTCTGTCTGATGGTAAAGCCTGTGAATGTCCTTCCCTCCCACTGCAGTGCTTCAAAGTCACCCGGCACGGCCATCGAGGGAGCCGAAACGTGGACACCGAGTGGTACCCTGCTGCAGCGCACACCTGTAAGCAGAGGAGGCAGGCCTAGAGAACCGGGGGGGAGAAGCAGCTCAGGGTTCTTTCAGCCATATTGAAGCCTCCCCACAGCCTTAACCTCAGAGTCCCTGCCCCCCAACTGAAGTTATCTTTAGCTCTCTAGTAAGCTGATCTTCATAGTGTCTCCCTAAACTGTCCTTCCAGGACTGAGGGGGAATGGATCACTTTTACAGAAACAAATCTAAGCAAAAAGTGAAGTATTTAGCAAGTAATGTCAACACACCCTGCATCCAACACTAGCCCTGATGTCATGTGCTCATGAGGTATACTTCAAACTGGAATCTATTAAATAAGCAACAAAATCCAAAGCCATTCCACCCTTTATTACGCACAATCTCATGTAATTCCCATAACCCTAGGTCGATACTACCATCTCCAGCTTACAGAGGTAATCAGCAACTTAACAAAGTAACTTGCTCAAGGTCTCACACATCTGTGAGTATGACAAGTTATAAACAAACGGAAGAAGTTCAAGATGAACAGATCGCAGGTATTTTTTGGTGTCTTCTAGTCCCCTCAATCTGCTACTTCTAATTCTCAGAATAAAAGCTGAAAGATGGCCAACCTGCAACGCATTTTAGAAAATGGGCAATGGGAAAGGAACAAAATGGACATAAGTAAAATACCTATGTAGAATAGCCAACGAATTGATAAACTTTTTTCATGGTCCCATCTATACGTGGTACTAATTGTTTCTTTCCTTTAAAGACAAGCTTAGAACAAAAACAAACACAGAATAAAACAGGAAGCAATGCTTCTGAATCAAATGACTGAATCCACAGCTTTTAGACTTATTGGGGAGGGGTCAAGCTTCCATTTTAGTTACTATGCAAAATAAATGTCCAAAACGCTTACCAATCTGTACTTGTTCCGGCTGGCTGAGAGAAACAAAAGCTGAGGTGTCATCGATCCAGGATATCTGAATGTTACCTGTAACGGTGAATCAAAAGCAAAGTGAACATCAGACCATTTCGATACCTATCAGAACGAATTTGTATCTCCGACACGTTATTTGTCTAAGCTGTAATTTAGAGAGAGATGAGGTGCTGGTTTAAAATCTGACCAGGATCTCAGCACTACAGAAAGTTAGCCTATGAAAACCAAAATCTACCACAGCAGTTATTTACCTCAAATATTAAGCTCAAAAAGAGACAAACTGGAGTGAATGGGGGTGGGGGAATCAAAAGGGGGAGGGAAACAGGGCCGTCAAGTCGATTTAACTCATAGCAACCCTATAGGACAGAGCAGAGCTGCCCCATGGGGTTTCTAAGGCTGTAAATCTTTACGGAAGCAGACTGCCATGGCTTTCTTCCACAGAGCACTCAGCAGGTTTGACCCGCTGACCTTTCGGTTAGCAGGAAGCACTTTAACCACTGTACCACCAGGGCACCTAAAAGGGGGAAAAGCTACTATGAATGTTTAAAAAACAGAAGAATGAATTGGTGTATGTTTTGCTGTATATATTCCCGACAACAAAAAAACAAAATTTAAAAACAGAATAAAAAAAGAGAAAACAGCTTTGCGGATTAAATGTTGGGTCATTTCATCATTCAGTCTTACGTCAGGGCTGGAGAATTTTCTTTCTATCCAGGTCACAAACAAAAATAAGAGATCATATAAGTTCAAATACACAATTATTTTCTTTTCAGAGATACAAATGTTTAAACTTAAGAATGTGGAACATGAAACAAGTCAATAAACATAGCAAGTAATAAAAAATATCCAATTCTGTTATCGAGGCTGAGTAAAGGAAACAAGTGGCAGAATGGAGGATCAGAAAAAGAAGTCAGAGAAAGAAACTTAAGTATTGCAACAGAGAAAAGAAAAACAGAGACAAAAAGTAGTATTCCATTGCCTGTGAGTTAATTTTGACTCATAGTGACCTTGTAGGACAGAGTAGAACTGTCCCATAGGGTTTCCAGGGCTATAATTTCATGGTTTAGATCAAGATAGGTGTGGGTCAGGCTTGTATCCCATACCATACTTATTCAATTTGTATACTAAGCAAATAATCCAAGAACCTGGACTAGATGAAGAAGAACATAGCTTTAGGATTGGAGGAAGACTCATTAACAATCTGCAATATACAAGAGACACAACCTTGCTTGCTGAAAGTGAAGATTTGAAGCACTAACTAATGAAGATCAAAGACGATAGCCTTCAGTATGGATTCCACCTTCATGTAAAGATAACAAAACTCCTCACAACTGGACCAACAAGCAACATCATGATACATGGAGAAAAGACTGAAGTTGTCAAGGATTTCATTTTACACTTGGATCCACCATCGATGCCCATGGACGCAGCAGTTGAGAAATCAAATGATGCACTGCATTGGGCAAATCTGCTGCAAAAGACCTCTCCAAAGGCTTAAAGAGCAAAGATGTCACTTTGAGGACTAAGATGTGCCTGACCTAAGCCATGGTGTTTTCAATCACCTCATATTCATGCAAAAGCCAGATGATTAATAAAGAAGAATAAATAATAATAATGAAGAAGACTAAAGAAGAAGGGAGCTCTGGTGTCATAGTAGTAGTGCCTAAGGCATCTGACTGCTAACCAGAAGGCTGGTGGTTCAAACCCATCAGCCACTCCTCAGAACTAAGGCTGGGCAATCTACTTCCATAGGGATATTGCCTCAGAAACCCAAGGAGAGGTTGCTATGAGTCACAATCAACTCGACAACAGTTGAGTTTGGATTTTTTTGGGTTTGGAAAGAAGAACTGATGTATTTGAGTTATGCTGAGCACACTGTGGACTGCGAGAAGAACGAACAAATCTGTCTTGGAATAAGTTTAGGCAGAATGCTGCTTAGAGGTGAGGATGGTGAGGCTCTGTGTCACATACTCCGCACATGTTATCAGAAGGGACAAGTCCTTAGAGAGGGACGTCATGCTTGATAACTTAAAGGGTTGGTGAAAAAGAGGGAGACCCTCCATGGGATGGACTGACACAGTGGCTGCAACAATGGGTTCGAACACAGGAACAACTGTGAGGAAGGTGCAGGACCAGGCAGAGTGCTGTTATGTACACACAGCATGGCTAAGAGTCGGGACAGACTCAATGGTACCTAAGAACAATAGTAACCATCCTTATGGAAGCAGACTGTCACGTTTTTCTTGTGCAAAGTAGCAGGTCAGTTCCAACCGCCAACATTCCAGGTAGCAGAGGAGCATGTACTCACTGAATCACCAAAACCCAAAATCCACTGCCATCAAGTTGATTCAGACTCATAGTGACATGGCAGGATAGAGGAGGCCTGCCCAGAGGGTTTCCAAGGCTGTAAATCTTTACAGAAGCAGACTGCTTCATCTCTCTCTTCTGGAGCAGCTGGTGGGTTCATATCTCTGAGCTTCTGGTTAGTAGCCAACTGCTTTGACCACTATACCACCTCAGAAAGCAGTGTGGTGAAACGAAAGGATATTCACACACAGAGAGACAAAACCTTGATAAAAGCTTTAGCCGCTTTTCGGTTAGCAGCTGGGCACTTAACGCTGAGCCACCAGGGCTCCTGAGTATAAGCACTTTATCATCATTTATAAACACAACAAAACGGAAGGGAGCTCACTGAGGAGAAGGAAGGAGGGCCGGGAGGAGGAAGGAGTCATGGGGTAGGAAGTTGGGGAAAACTGAGGGAAAGCAGAGGCCTAATGATTCTGCTACCACTCTTCTTGGAAAAGAAAAAACAAAATAACAGAGTACTGAATTCAAAAGAAAACAGGTAAACAACACTGGAATTTGTCATTGCAAAAGGTTTTAATTCCCACTAAAACTTTCAAAAGCCAGAATTCCTGAAAATGGCTTTGTTTCATTACCAGAGGAAACAGTAACCCTCACCTCCTGCCGCACAGTGAACGTCACGTTAACAAAGTCACGTGAGGAAGATCTGTGATGGATGCTGGCAATGGCAGAACAACATGATGACTGTAATGTCACTAAATCACACATGTGCAAAAGGCTACACGGGCACAGGCTTTGTGTTATATGTATGTTTACAGTAACAACAAAAATCACCTACTGCTACCTGGTTTCAGGAGGACTGGACAATCTACTTCTGTAGAGATACTGCCTCAGAAACCCAAGGAGGGGTCACTATGAGTCGGATCCAATTCTATGGCAGTGAGTTTGGGTTTTGTTTTTTGGTTTATTTTGGTTGGAATCCCTGGATGGCACAAGCGGCTGAGTGCTCAACTACGAGCTGAAAGGATGGCGGTTCAAACCCGCCCAGAGAGGCCTAATGATCTGTTCCCAAAAGGTTAGAGGCCTTGAAAACCCTCAGGAGCAGGTCCCCTCCACACATGTGAGGGAGGATGAGCCAGAACCGCCTCAGCAGCCACCAACGTTACATGGTGACCACTCCACCTGCGAGTGTGGTTTTTTAAGATAAATAAACTATTGCCACGTACGGAGTATAGCTGCTATATGCCACTCGCTGTTCCGAATGCCTTCTGACATTTAATCCTCAAGACTTGCCAACGGACAAGGTACTGCTTTTATTATTATCTCTGATGAGCAAACAGATACAAAGAGAAGTCACCCAACTTTTTTTTTTTTAATTAAACTGAAAAATATTCTACTGAGCATTTTACTTAATTTAGTCAATTAGAGTCTGACTCCACAGGGATGAGAAGTTTAACCACATGAGGTGAGAAACAGCAACAGTAACAAAAGCTTTCCCAAGGAAGAGCCGACATTCGCATGGACGTCCACGGCCACGTTTAAACGGAAAAGAAGAGCGGGACCAGGCCTTCAGAAACCACCCAGACTCTCCGCAAAACGACACCTGTCCTCACCGGCTTTTCAAAGATTATACGTAAAAAGTTTTCCAATTAAGAAAGTCAGTAAGGCTTATTTTAGAAAATACAGAAAAGTCAAATGAGGAAGAACAGCAGCATTCTAAGACATTCAGAGGTAACCGCATGATACTTTCCACCAGTCTGATTTTTTTATTTCCAAAAAAACCTGCTATCACAGAGTCAATCCGGACTCACAGCACCCTACAGGACAGAGTAAAACTGCCCCACGGGGTTTCCAAAGAAACGGAACTCTGGTAGTGTAGTTGGTAAGACATCTGGCTGCTAACCAGAAGGTCAGTGGTTCAAACTCACCAGCTACTCTGCAGGAAAAAGATAAGACAATCTACATCCATAAAGATTTACAGCCTTGGAAAGCCAACTGAGGTCATTATGAGTCGGAATCAACTTGATGGGAGTGGGAATCTTCAAGGAAGCAGACACAACAGCTTCTTCCTGTGGAGCAGCTGGTGGGTTTGAACCACTGACCTTTCGGTTAGCAGCTGGGCACTTAACGCTGAGCCACCAGGGCTCCTGAGTATAAGCACTTTATCATCATTTATAAATGCCTCAGTATCTTCAAAATGGCTGCCTACTGGTCTGTTGAGGGCAAAACATTATTAAACACCTTTATAGTTAGAAAATTAAGGTTTCTTGCTTCCTTCAGTTTACCCAAGAATTTCTAAAGAGAACAGTTTAAATGCTTCATTGTTAAAATAAGGAGGCATCACTGCAGGGTGAAAATCAGAAGGGTCTTTACAAAGCCTAATCAGAAGACTAATCAATTCAACCTCATCATTTGATGTGACACAAAGGAGAGAAGAATAACTCACAGACGTTGGTGGGCTTGGTCGACTTTGACTATGTAAAATTGAGCAGAGACCAGCTGCCCTTATGAAACAAACATCTCTCAATTTAATCTTAAAAATAACTTATCATCAGCCTAGATGTATTCTCCCTGATCAGTGGTAAATGCAGTGATGTGACTGTAACTGCCCTTAATTTCCACGGCTCAGCAGCAGCCTATTGTCAGGTGTTGTTAAAAGTTCCTCAGATTATCTGCTTCAGAGATAGGACAGAACTACACTCAACAAACAAACATGACATGAGTGAGACTAAAACCTTGTGCATTAGGACAAAAGAAAGGCAAAACCCTAACAGTGCATCTGTATTGTGATTTACTTACCAAAGGCACTGAAGAGCTGGTATAGGTCGCTGGTTTTCCATTCTTTGGGGAAGGTCACATGGAGAACATGATCTCGCTTAGGCTGCACTACAAGACAAATTTTGGATGAAAAGTTCACAGCTGAAAACGGGTATGCGGGTTGAACTGTGTCCCCCAAAAAGGCATATGCTCAAATTCTAAACCTCAGACCCCTGGTACCTATGAGACCAAACCAAACCAAACTCACTGCTGTCGAGTCGGATCAAACTCCTAGCGACCCCTCCTTGGGTTTCTGAGGTGGTGTCACTATGGAAGTAGATTGCCCAACCTTCCTTCTGAGGAGTGGCTGGTGGGTTTGAACCTCCAGCCTTCTGGTTAGCAGTCAGATGCCTTAGGCACTACACTACTAGAGCTCCTCTCTGGAAAGAAGGCCCTCTAGCTAATGTCATCAAATTACAATAAGGTCATACTAGATTGGGGTGGCCCCAATCCAGTGAGCGGTGTCCTTATAAAAGGAGGGACAACATTTGAAAAAACACATAAACACAAAAGGGAGAGAGCACCATGTGAAGACGGAAGCAGAGATGGGAGTGCTCATATACAAGCCAAGGAACACCAAAGTCTGCGGGCCACTGCCAGACACTAGAAGAAAGTCATGGGACAGATTCTGTCAGAGCCTCCAGAAGTAACCAAATGTCAGCCTCCAAAACTCTGAGAAAATAAATGTCGGTCCTTTAAAGTCGCCCGGCGTGTGGTGTTCCGTTGTGGTAGTTGAAGGCAACGAACACAGACCTGGGTACTGGAAAGTGGGCGCTGCTGTAACACACACTTAAAAACGTGGAAGCGGCTTTAGGTGGGTAATGGATGGAGGCTGCTATAATTTTAAGGCACATTACAGAAAAGGTCTAGATTGCCTTGAACAGAACAGTGGCTAGAAACATCAGTGTTAAAGATGTATCTGGTGAGGACTCAGACAGAAATGAAGATCTTGGTTTTGGAAAGCATAGGAAAGGCAATCCTTTTCATAAGTGGCAAAGAATTCAGCTGAATTTTTTTTCTATTGTGTGGAAAGCAGAACTTACAAGCAATGAGTGTCAATATTTAGCTGAGATTGCCAAGTTCAGTGTGACCTGATTTCTCCTTGCTGTTTACAGAGGGAAGGGATCAATTAAGGAAGCAAAAGGAAGCAGAGCTTGAAGCTAAGGAAATTCCCAGCCCACCTGTCCTGCAGATGAGAAGGCGGCTGCTCTGCAGAGGACAGTAAGGGTGTCGCTGGACAAAGCTGCTGGAGAGACAGGCACTGATACACGGGCGCAATAAACCATGTCACCAGAAACACCACCAGCCTGGAGCGAAGAGGTATAGACCCATTACTGACCACTTGATCCTGACTCATAGTGACCCTACAGGACAGACCAGAACTGCCTCATAGTGTTTCCAAGGCTGTACATAATCTATAAGGAGGCAGACTGCCACATCTGTCTTCCGAGGAGTGGCTGTTGGATTTGCACCATCAGTCTTTCAGTTAGTAACCAAGTACTTAACCACCGTGCCCACCAGGGCTCCCTGAAGGGGACAGAGATGGGGTGAAAGGAAGGCAGGCTGCTGGACTTCTGAGAAATGGCCTGACTGAACTACCCAGCTGCAAACGTGTCATTCTTCAAGAAAAGGGATGAAAGCTTCCCAAGGTAGCTCAGAGGCTAGTGGGGCTGCTGCTGCCATCACAGGCCCAAAGAGAGTGGGTCCAAGGGACACGGCCACCGCCGCCTCAACGTGAGAGGGCAGGGCCACTTCCTCAGTTACGGCAGTCCGAGGAAATTAATGCAGTGGTCATGTAAAGCAGTGGCTCTTTGATGAAATAAAGCCAAGCTACCTCAGGGAACCATATGACTGTCAAGATAACCAAAACACTCCTCAAGGTATTCTTAGGATTGACAGGACTCTGCCACCACAGCCGAGTTCTCCTTTTGAACTCACAACAATTCGGACCCTAGCAATTTCATGCAGAGCATCTTTTCTTATGAAGTTCCTGTGTCGTCTTTTTTAAAGGAAAATAGATACATAAACAAAAACCTAGGCTGCTCTGTTCACTTAACTTTGTCCTTTTAATCCAAGTGTATCCATGTTTATTACAACAAACAAATGTATTTTCCAAATTAAAAGGACTGATTTTCTTTAAGTAGAAGCCATCGTTAGAGTCACAACCTTGTAATTTAATCACCACCATGCAAGGCTGAGCAAGAGATGTAAGTAACCACTCTAAGCTTCCATTTCCTCAGCCTTAAACTGGAAAGGAGCCTCTAGGTGGCACCAACGCTTAAGCGCCTGACCACTAGCTCAAAGGCTGGTGGTTCAAACCCACCCAGAGGCCCCTTGGATGCCAGTCCTGGACATTGGCCCCGACTCATAGCGACCCTCATTGGGTTTCCAAGCTGTAAATCTTTACAGAAGTAGATTGTACATCTTCCGTCCTTCCATGGAGCAGCTGGTGGCTTTGAACTACTGACCTTCTGGTCAACAGCCAAATCCCTTAACCACGACACCACCAGAGCTCCATATACTATCCATATCAATGGATTCATTTAAACGAATGAAGCTCTTTCTTACTAGTATTTTTCCATGTATCCCTTCTAGACCACACTCTTAAATGTATAGATACAATGAGAAAATAAAAATTTCCTTACAGTCTGGTCCTTCCAAGTTTAGATAGGGGATATCCATGACTCTCATAAGAAACAACCTATGAAGAGAAGAAAAGCAGGCAATGGGTGATTTGAGGGGAGAAAGGCAGTACAGCTGTGTATTAACATTTTTAGATGTTCCTTGATTTTATTACTCTATTTCTAAAGCCATTTTATAAACACTAAAGATTTACTTTAGAGATTTTTCTGTTGGGCTAAGTACTTACCATGAATAAGGAAGAAGACTCTGGTATCCTCCTCACCTACAACACTTCCCCACACTCAGTAGCTGCTCAATAAACATTAGCTAAATGGATGGATTTAGGAATCAAAGAGTTGAAAGAAGGTCCCGTGCAGAACTGCCTGCCTTGTTAATGAGTCCAAGGAAACTGAGACAAGGTAAATGTCACAGAAGAGCAGCCAACTCACCGGCTTATGAACAAGTGTCCCTACAAACTGTCACGGTAACCCTTGTAATCAACGTTTGTGAACTGAGATGATGACAGCATGTTGTTGTTGTGTTGTTATGTGCCGTCAAGTCAGACCTGACTAATAGCGACCGCTCCTTGGGTTTCCAAAGCAGTATCACTACAGAAGTAGATTGTCCCATCTTCCTACCGAGGAGCAGCTGATAGGTTTGAACCACCAGCCTTCTGGTTAGCAGCCAAGTGCTTTAGGCACTATGCTACCAGAGCTCCCTGAGATGACAGCATAGATTCCCCTTTTTGTTACTGAAATACAAAGTCACTGGATGAATGCCAATCTTTCTGGGTGAACTAAACCAAAAAAAACCAAACTCACTGCCGTTGAGCTGGTTCCGACTCATAGCAACCCTCCTTGGGTTTCCGAGGTGGTTATTTCTACGAAAGTAGATTGCCCAATGACTGTCTCAAAAGCCCATGTTACTAGCATCAGTTAAAACAACATATTAAAAGCACAAAGCAAAATAATCCTTGGCAGAGAAAATGATCACAGATACAAACCACAGCAGTCATTTTATGTTTAGCTTCTAAAACGGATACAAAGGCAAAAAACAAAAAACAAAAAAACAACCTTATAAATTACACCTTCCTCTAACATTATTCAATTTCCTTTTATTCCCCGTGATTATAAAATATCAGGCATTCCGTTGCTTGTAAAATGATTGTAATGACTTTTACTTAGATTTCAATATTGTCTGCTCTAGTAGACACCGCATCAGCTCCTCACTTATCAACATGGTTAGGTTCCAAAGGCCAGGTCCTTACGCAAAAATCACCATCATGGGAAAATAAAGGATGACCACTTCAGATTATAAAATGGAGGATGACTACACTGTTATGTAACTGCCAAATTACATCATTACATAACTGCCAAATCACAGCATTACATAACAGCCAAACCACTGAGAATCATGGCCCAGCCAAGTTGACAATAACTAACCATCACTGCCAGCGTTTCTCTCACCTCGGTATTCATTACTGCCAGATGTCTGTCATTAATTAAAAAAAAAATAGTTGGATAGATTTTTTACTATTGCCACAAATGTGAAATGTCAGATAATTTATAAACTTGGTGACTCACGGAGCTACAGCAGACAGCCTTTGGACCGAGGTTTCCTGGCAGAGTGGGGTGTCTCTGGGCACTTAGCGGTGGAGCTAAAAGCTCTCTAACACTTGCTTAAGCAAAGCAAGGGCTGGGGTAAGGGGCCAAGGGGCCCAGGGCCAGAGCAAGCCCTGCCTGTGGGCACAGCTGAAAAGAAGTTGTCCTCAATGGAGGACTGTGTCCTGAGTTACTTCTGACCCTGAACTGTAACCTGTTACTTCCCTAATAACCCTATCATCATGAGTTTTGTCTGTGCGTTGTGCGTGGCCACTACAAATGATCAAAACCATCAGAAAAGCAGAAAGTGACATGGAGGGATGGTTGGAGAAAGCAGGTGTGTCTGACTTTCCCCTCACAGAAACCAGCCCTGGGCTGTTGGCCTTGATGCCCCCCACCCCCGCTCCCCACACACACACACACAAACACACTTTGTTAGAGGAGGTCAGATGCCTTACTGTGTCATTCTTAAAGTTTGCTGATAAATAAGTGGGTAAGTGAGAAGGAGGTGTACTGCATTACACAGCAGATCAAAGCAGCCACCCACCTGCCCAACAAGCCGTCAGTGCGGCTTCCCTGACCCGTGATTAAGGCATATTACTACCTGGCACTCAAAAGCCAAGCGGGGCATGATCTAGTTTACAAACAGAACCGTCAGCATGAACACTGCTCTGTGAACGCCACAAAAACCGAAGTCATCCTTCTCTGTGACTTGAGAACTCCCTACTTGGCCTACAATTTAATAAACCAAGTGCTATGGCTAAGAAAGGAAATTTATTTTTAGCTCAGTGATTTAGTCTCAGTGCACCATTCTGATTTGTAAGCCACTTTGTCCAATTTACTCAGTATTACCAGCAACCTCAGAAAACAATAATATACACAGCAGTTCCCCCTCATCCACAGGGCATAGATTCCAAGACCCCTGTGGATGCCGGAAACCATGGGTTACTACTGAACCCTCCATATACGATGTTTCTTCCTACACATACATATCCAGTGTAATGGTTAATTTACAAATTAGGCACAGTGAGAGAGCAGCAACAATCATTAATGATGCAACAGAAAAATAATAATTTACTGGATTAAAATTTACGTGAAGGTGACCTTGGCAACCTCAGCATACCACTAACTTGAGAACTTTTACCTTTTCACTTAAAGAAAGCACTTTAGGGCTCCTTTTTGGCATATCCAAATTGCCAGCATCACTACCTTGTGCTCTGGGGACATTAAGTAAAGATAACTTGAACACAAGAACTGTGATACCGTGACAGTCTGATAACTAAGACAGCCACTAAGTAACTGATTTGCAGGTAGACCTATAGTGTGGACACACTGGACAAAGGACAATCCGTGTCCTGGCCTGGACGGAGCAGGCTGGGTGAGATTTCATCAGGCTACTCAGAACAGTGTGAGATTTAAAACTTATGAGTTGTTTATTTTTGAAATTTTCCATTTAATATTTTGAGTTACCTGCAGTGGACCACAGGCAACTTAAAATGTAGAACATGAAACTGTGGATAAGGAAGGACTATATAAAGCACCCAGCAGAAAGAAGGCTCTCAATGATGTTATCTACAATTCTGGTTGCAAACCACAACTGGGAAAATAATTCTTGGGTTAAAAAAAAAAAATCTCTATTGTAGTTGAGTGGATTCCAACTCACAGTGCCCCTAGAGGACAGAGTGGAACTACCCCATAGAGTTTCCAAGGCTGTCAACCTTTACAGAAGCAAAGCCCAAACCACGCCCACTACCATTGAGTCCATTCAGGCTCACAGCGCCCCCAGAGGACAGAGTGGAACTGCCCCAGAGGGTTTCGGGCTGTCAATCTTTACAGAAGCAAAGCCCAAACCACGCTCACTGCTGTGGAGTCGATTCTGACTCACAGCGCCCCTAGAGGACAGAGTGGAACTGCCCCACAGGGTTTCCAAGGCTGTAATGTTTTCGGGAGCTCTGGTAGCATAGTGGCTAAGACACTTGCCTGCTAACCAGACAGCTGGCGGTTCATACCCACCAGCCACTCCTCGGAAGGAAGGTTGGGCAATCCTACTTCCGTAGTGATACTGCCTCGGAAACCCAAGGAGGGGTCGCTATGAGTCGGGGCCGACTCGACGGCACATAACAACAACAACAACAATGTTTTCGGAAGCTGACTGCCTCATTTTTCTCCCGTGGAGCACCTGGTGAGTCAGGAGACTTCCTACTGTTATACTTCATGTAATTTTCAATTTTCCATTTGGTAAATTTAGAAATGGTTCCCAAATTCAAAAAACCAAACTAAAAAACAATCTCCATTTAAAAACTAACTGAATGTACCAAGTGTCATAAAATAACTAAAACTTTTTACTCTAATTTCAACAGAACAGAAATTGAATCCACAAGATGTTCATTGTTCTACTGTCAACTGCACGAGAAGTCAAAATCCACCTCAATATTTAATATGTTGGGTGAGTGAATATAGTTCATCATTTCAGTAAATTATTACAACCCACATGATGAAAACTTCAAAACATAAAGATTATGATATAATTCTATGTTTTCAAAAAGCACAGAACTTTATGACTATATCTTTACAAAAATTTGTTGTTGGATCAAGAGTGAAAAATAAAATTCTCCCCCCGACACACACACGGCAACTGTTTTGTAATTCTGTGAGCTTTGTTTTTCAAAATTCTTTCTACTATTTTCTTTTTAAACTTCAAGAAGAAAATTAAAGTTATCAGAACTGAGAGGCCCACAGAAATAACAAGAGCCTGTTCTTAGAGCAAGCACAATGGGAAACGCCAGATGAATTAATCTTGTGCATCCTACGGACTGTGCCACCTGGCTGTGGGGAAATGCAATGAATGTAAAGTAAAATCACTAGTCTGAGTCTGCAATTTCTTTCTTTCTTACATTTTATTTTATTTCCAAAATCATGGGACATCACTAAGGAGTTTAGAAAACATATTGCCTTGTACATACAAAGATGAACACTTGAAAAGAAAAAAAAGGGATATTCCCAATTTACCTTACCATGTCAATGTTTACAAGGAGCTCTGGTAGCATAGTGGTTAAAGCACTCAGCTGCTAAATAAAAGGTCAGTGATGCAAACCCACCAGCTGCTTCACAGAAGAAAGTTGAGGCAGTCTGCTTCCGTAAATATTTATAGCCTTGGAAACCCTATGAGGCAGTTCTACTCTGTCCTATAGGGTTGTCATGAGTCGGCATCGACTCAATGGCAGTGGTTAAATATTTACAAAAACAATTTTTTGAGTAATTTTGTTATGCAACGTACAGCCTATTTTCTAATGTTTCATCTGAATTTAAAATATTAGATCTGATGAACATAAGTAAAAATTCATTCTCAGCTGAAACACCCAAAAGACCAAAATAAAAAAAGTCAATCCATGCTATCGTGTTTATGCAATGTTTAACTCAACAAAATCCCTTTCAAATAAACAATTTTCCTTATAGTTTACTTTACTTTTGTTACTGT